TGCCATTCCCATCAAGTCTGCGAAAGCTTCCAGGGACATTGCCAGTGATGTAAGTACACGGGAGCCTTGGTAGCACACTGACTTGGTTGCTTTGTCCGTGCTCGTGTCTGAAGAGCAGAGATTGGAAGTGCAGATGAGTGGTGACAGTAGAGCTCTGAGCTGTCGTTGCTGCTCAGTTGGTGTGCAAGGACGTTGTTTGAGGAGGTTCTTCCTGTTGCAGTTGGTGGCTGCTGTGTGTGTGCAGTGCAGTGAAGGACATTGTATGCTGCATAGGGCGTGTGTTAGCTGGAACTTGCTGAAGTACCTAATGAAAAGTAGCATCCTTTTGTGGTCTTGTTGCACCTCCAGCTCATGCAGGAGACTTGAGATGGTCTCAGTAGTGCCATTTTGCCCTCCCCTGCTGTCTGCAGCTGTACCACTGTGCTTTGGAGAAGAAAACCCAAAGCAAGCTTTGTGATATGACAGCAGCATTTATTGTTTGTGTTTGGGCTGGACCTGGTTCAGCCCCTATCAGACTGGCTTGAGTTTGTCTGTGCTTGTGCTTCAGAATATCAATTCATGGTGCTGCCGTGCATGTATTGAATTTATTCTCCTGCAGCATTTTGTAATTCTGGTGTGTTCCATTATTCATGGCAGTTGAATTCAGTCTTTTTTCAGGCTTACTGTACGATTCAGAAAGAAGAGGAGGAAAAAGTGTAGAGCTGCCTGCTGTAACTGCCCAGGTTTAGGCAGTTGTGTAGTTTCAGCTGAGGTCTGACGTTAGGTTGAGTGAGCAGGGCTCCACTGCTGTGTGCTGGAGAGACTGGTGCTGCTCCTTTGGGCTGCATGGGGGATTACCACCAGCGCAGATCAGGATGAAACCCAGGGTGGCTTCTTGATGAGTCTGGTGGGTTCTTTCCTGTTATTCACGAGAAGAGTGTATGTGGCTGCAATGCTAGGTTGTCTGGAGTTGCAGTGTGGATCTCCATGTACCTTCAGCAGTCCAATGCAGGCCTGGGGATCCCTTTGTGTGGAAATGCTGTGCTTATGAGCCTAATTCCATGGTGATTTTGTCCACCTTGATTAGCAGTGTGCTTTTTGCAGGACTTATTTGAGAACAGGGTCGAAAGGGAAGGATAGTGTGATCAGGAATTGACCAATCTGCTTTAACCCTGCAGTACAAATATAAGGAAGGGTACCGCAAGCAGCTTGGCCACCACATTGGAGCCCGCAACATAGAGGACGATCCGAAGATGATGTGGTCAATGCACGTAGCCAAGATCCAGAGTGACAGGGAGTACAAGAAAGCCTTTGAGAAGACCAAGACGCACTTCAGCAGCCCTGTGGACATGCTGGGAATTGTGTTGGCCAAGAAATGTCAGGAGCTGGTCAGCGATGTTGATTACAAGCATCTTCTGCATCGCTGGACCTGTCTGCCGGACCAGAACGATGTTGTACAAGCCCGGAAAGTGTACGACCTTCAGAGTGATGTGAGTTATCCTGTTGTGGGTGTGTGAGAAGGGGAGGTTGGAGTTGTGTTGTGTGCCGTTTTTGTAGAAGATGGGGAGTTGTGGAATTGTAAGATAGGTGATTGTGTGATTCTGTGCTGTGGCCGTGCTGCCTGTCTGAGTGTTGAATGGTGTGTCCTGACATGGGGAGGAAGCTGTTTGTATGGTATCTAATCTAATTTGTACTCTTTGCTTTTGAAAGTTCATCTGACTGCTCCTTCAGTTCTCCCTGTTGCAGCAATGGGAAGAAGATATAATAAGATGAGGTCCTAAGATTACAAATGACTGTCTCTCACGTATTAGCATAATGTATGCAGAAAAATGTAGTTTATTGTCTATTACTGTTAGGCCAGAGCTGTGAGAAAATGAAAATAGCCTTAGAATATCTTTTCTCCCATGTACCCTCTTTTTCCTTCTTCCCCCAAGTAGTGCAGAGGAATGAGAAATGGCAGTTGCAGTTGATGCATGATGCTTCATCCCTATTGCTTCTCCGTTCTCTCTCTGGCCCTGTTCCACATGCGGTTATTCCCATGGGTTGCCCTTTGTTCTGAACTGATCCTGTGTGGGCTTCCCACTTGCTGGAGCAATTCAACCACTGCTCAGACACAGCACTGTAACACAGGGCCCATCCTTCAGGGACTGATGCCCCATGCGTCTGCAACGGCATTAGCTTCTCCAGGCCTCCTGCTCCACTGCAAGCTCTTCTCCTTGGGCTGCAGCTCTAGTCCTGGGGACCTGCTCTTTCACGAGCTCTCCATAGGCTGCAGTTTCCCTCAGGCCACATCAGCCAGCTTCCATAGGCTTCTCCATGGGCTGCATGTGGACATATAGTCCACATCTTGCACTTGGGCTGCAGGGAAATAGCCTTCTCTACCATGGACCGTATCTGGGCTGCAGGGAACTTGTGCTCCGTGCCTGGAGCGCCTCCTGCCCTCCTTTTTCAGTGATGCTGGTGTCTGAAGGGTTGTTTCTGTCACATTTTCTCACTCTGAATAAAACAGCTGTAGTGCAGCTGTTTTATTCTTCCTCCAGTGTGCTCTAAGGGAGGGGCAAGCAGTCTTATTCACTAGCTCAGTTCCAGACAGCAGTGAGTTCCTACTGGTGGAAAGTGGAAATGGCTATTATTTATCATAGGGTAGCTTTGGAACTATTCTCACAGAAGCCAAACAGGCAGCTGCAGCCATTACCAAAATCATGCCTAATAATACGGTGTTGTAATTTTTGATCAGAGAAGAGTTGTTGCATACCTTGAGGAGTTTGAAAGAAGGGTTGTTGCAGGCGGCCATACTTTCTTATGGCGGAGGAGGGCGAAGGAATCAGATTTTCACTTTTGGGTGACCAAAGCTGGGTGACAAGCCATCTGTGCATATGGGGATGGTTTAAGGAGCATTCGGTGTTGAGGAGTAAAGATTCTTGTGTGCCTCTGCCATCCAGTAGTTGGTGGATGGAGCAGATCTTTGCCCCTCTTGCCTGCAGAGGATTTTGCAGAGACTGTGCTGGAGGAAAATGTTGTTGGCTGCTTGTGGTGATGTAGGCTGCACATGCTTCCAGAACCTGGTTGTAACAGAAGCTGAGCTTAATAGGAGGCACAGATTGCTGTCAGGTTAGGTTCTGCAGGGGAGTCTGTCTTTGCAGAAGGAGGAGGTTGATGAGGGCTTCCATAAGCAACTGGAAGCAACATCATGATCCCAGGTGTTGGTACTTATGGAGGACTTCAATTATCGAGATATTTGCTGGATAAGCAACACAGCCAGGCATGCGTGGTCCAGATGGTTCCTGCGATGTGTTGAAGACAACTTTCTGATGCAGGTGATGGAGGAACCAACGAAGGGAGGGGTGTTGCTGGACCTTATTCTCACTAATAAGGAAGGGCTTGTCAAGGAAGTAAAGGTCAGGGGCAGCTTGGGTTGTAGTGACCACAAATTGGTGGGATTCAAGATCTTGAGTGGAAGAAGCAAAGCAAAAAGTAGGATTGCTATCCTGGACTTTAGGAGAGCAAACTTTGATCTCTTCTGAGACCTACTTGAATCTATCCTGTGGGCTAGGGTGTTAAAAGGTAAGGGAGCCTGTGAGAGCTGGTCAGTGTTTAAACAGCTTTTCTTCCAAACTCAGGATCCGTGCGTCCCTGTGAGCGAGAAATCAGGAAAGAATGGCAGGAGACCTGTGTGGATGAGCAAGGAGCTCGTGCACAAAAAGGGAAGAAGAATGTCCATGAAATGTGGAAAAAGGGTCTGACCACTTGGGAAGAATATAGAAATGTTGTCAGGGCCTGCAGGGATGCGACGAGGAAGGAATTCCTGCCTGGAATTGAATCTGGCAAAGGTGATAAAGGATAATAAAAAAGGCTTTTTTAAGTATGTTAACAGTAAAAGAAAGACTAGGGAGAATGTGGCTCCCCTACTAAGTGAGGGGGGTGTTCTGGTAACGGGGGATGCTGAGAAGGCAGAGATACTGAATGCCATTTTTGCTTCTGTCTTCACTGAAAAAGCTCTCCCTCAGGAATCCCAGACCCTTAAGGTTAGTGAGAGGGTCTGGGGAATGGAAGACTTCCCTGACTAAAGGGAAGAGTCGGTCCGAGAGCGCCTAGGCAACACCAGTGTTCATAAATCCATGGGACCTGATGGGATGCAGCCATGAGTACTGAGGGAGCTGGCAGAGGTGATTGATGAACTGCTCTCTATCATCTTTGAGAGGTCTTGGAGAACGGGGCAGGTGCCGAGGAGAACTCCGGTCTTCAAAAAGGGCAAGAAGGAAGATCCAGGTAATTACAGGCCAGTCAGCCTCACATCTGTCCCTGGAAAGGTGATGGAGCAGCTTGTGCTGGATGCCATCTCCAGACAACTGGAAGAGGTTATCAGGAGTAGTCAGCATGGGTTCACCAGGGGGAGGTCGTGCTTGACCAACCTGGTAGCCTTCTATGGTGTTGTCACTGGCTGGGTGGATGGGGGGAGAGCAGTGGATGTAGTCTACCTTGATTTCAGCAAGGCATTTGATACTGTCTCCCACGACATCCTTATAACAAAGCTGAGGAAGTGTGGGATAGATGAGTGGACAGTGAGGTGGTTGAGAACTGGCTGACTGGCAGAGCACGGAGTATCATCGTTGGCGGTGCAGAGTTTGGTTGGAGGCCTGTAACCAGCGGTGTTCCCAGGGGGTCGGTGCTGGGTCCGGTCTTGTTCAACATCTTCATCAATGACCTTGATGAGGGGATAGTGGCCACCCTCAGCAAGTTTGCTGATGATAGGAAGTTGGGAGGATTGGCTGACACGTCTGAAGGCTGTGCTGCCATTCAGCGAGACCTGGGCAGGCTGGAGAGCTGGGCAGTAAGAAACCAGATGAGGTTTAACAAAAGCAAGTGTAGAGTCTTGCACCTAGGGAGGAATAATTGCATGCACCGGTACAGGTTGGGGGATGAGCTGCTGGAGAGGAGCTCTGCAGAAGGGACCTGGGTGTCCTGGTGGACGACAGGTTGGCCATGAGCCAGTAGTGTGCACTTGTGGCTAAAAAGGCCAATGGCATCTGGGGTGCACTAAAAAGAGCGTGGCCAGCAGGTCGAGGGAGGTGATCCTCCCCCTCTATTCTGCCCTGGTAAGGCCTCATTTGGAGTACTGTGTCCAGTTCTGGGCTCCTCAGTACAAAAAAGACAGGGATCTCTTGGAAAGAGTCCAGTGGAGGGCCACAAAGATGGTGAAGGGCCTGGAGCATCCCCCTATGAAGAAAGGCTGAGTGAACTGGGTCTGTTTAGCCTTGAGAAAAGAACACTGAGAGGGGACCAGATCAAGGTCTATAAATATCTGTGGTGTGGGGGGGGCAGAGTGGGGAGGCCAGACTGTTTTCAGCACTGTGTGGAGACAGGACAAGGGGGAATGGCCAGAAACTGGAGCATGGGAAGTTCTGCACAAATGCGCGAAAGAACTTCTTTAGGTGAGGTGACGGAGCACTGGAACAGCCTGCCCAGGGAGGTGGTGGAGTCTCCTTCTCTGTAGATATTTAAGACTTGCCTAGACACCTACTTGTGCAACCTGGTGTAGGGAACCTGCTTTGGCAGGGGGGTTGGACTCAATGGTCTCTGGGGGTCCCTTCCAACCCCTACTGTGATTTGCAGAAGGAGCCCCCCTTGGTTGGAGGAGTGCTGGTGAGTGTTAGAGTGTTAGCAGTTACTAATCTGGCTTGTGTCCTGCTGTGTCTTTTCAGAATGTGTACAAGTCTGACCTGCAGTGGTTGAAAGGCATTGGCTGGTCCCCAATTGGTTCCCTGGATGAAGAGAAGAACAAGCGAGCGAGCATGATCCTG